CCCCTGCATCTAAGGATTTGGTGACCTGGTCGTAGAAGGCCACCAGGTTGGTCTGACAGGACCTGCCGCAAATGAACCCGTGTTGGTTGCCCTTAAGCATAATCTCCCCCACTGGCCCCTCGTGGATGTGTGCCAGGACAATTCTCTCAAAAAGCTTGCCCAGGATCGAGGTAAGACTAACTGGCCTGTAGTTCCCCGGGTCCTCCTTCCTCCCCTTTTTGAAGATGGAAACCACATTGGCCCTCTTCCAGTCCTCTGGCACCACATCAGGGCACCACGAGTGCTCGTACAGCTGTGCCAGGGGTCCCGCAATGACCTCAGCTAATTCCCTCAGCACTGTGGGGTGGAGATTGTCAGGACTTGATGATCTGAATACATCCAGTCCCTCCAGAAGTTCCCTGACTAGATCCTCCCTGACCCTTGGCCTAGGTGCGCCTCCCCTGGGGCCTGAGGGGGGCCCGGTGCGAGGGCTGATCCGGTCCCTGCTCAGGAAAATGGAGGCAAAGAAATCGTTAAATATGTTGGCTTTGTCATCTGGTGTGACAACCAAATTCCTTAGTGTGTCTTGCAGGGGCCCCATGTTACCCTGTACCTTCTTATTGCCCCCTATGTATTTAAAAAAGGACTTCTTGTTGTCCTTGATCCGGGAAGCTAGTTGCGCTCCTGCTTTGCTCTTGGAGGGGTCAAAAGCAGAACCATGGGACTGTGAGGGGAGGAAGGATCATCGAACACCAGTGGTGCTTGTATTACAGTAGTGTCTAGAGGTTGCACTGAGTTTGGTGCCTTTCTGTGCTAGATGCTGCACAGGTGCAAGGTCAGGGGGAGGGGGGGGCGGGCAGTCTGCACCCAAGGCCTGCAGCAGGCCAGAGCCCAGGTTTTCAGCTGCTTGAGCAGGTGATCTGACTGCTGACTGCTGTTCTGCCCACATCAGTCATTATCTGATCCTCTTCCTTGCTTCCTTCATTGTCTGCTTGTCATTGAAGTCTTTGTACCTTGCCAATGTCTTGCAGAACCTGGCTGTCGGCTCAGGAGCTGTTGGATCTCTGCCACTGACCTACATCTCCAAGGTAATGTTAGGGTGGTGCTTGGAGAGAATTAATGGGTGCTATGCACTGCCCCCTCCTTCCGGCAGTGCTGTGGGGAGGATAATGACGTGCCCTAGAAGCACCAGAGGCCAGATACTGAGCTAGGCAGGGTGACGTTCCTGGGGCAGGAGATTTGGACATCTGCATGGTGTGCTGTGCTGTGGGGTGGGGGATGGCAAGCAGTGGGTCCACAGTTGTTCTCTGTAGCCTGCTTCCAGGTGAATAGCATGGTGGGGTGGTCTGCGCGAACCCTCAACGAGTAAACCGAGGCACAGGAAGCCAGAGGAACCCAGGGCAGAGGGAAGAGGAATGTGGCTGCAGTGGGGTTGCATTTGTGGCCCTTATTCCCTTGGATGCTCCGTCTTCTGCATCCAGTGTGAGGCTGTCCCACCTTTTGCTCCTGCAGCTAGACCCAGACACGGAGCTCCTTGCTCTTCCTGCTGTCTACATGAATCCCGGGTGGGGTGGGGTGGGGTGGGGTAGGGTGGTCTGGGGGGATCCCACCCCTGGGTCGGAGGGAAGCTCGCTGACAAATGATCCACATTCTGGCTTGAAGGAAGATTGCTGCAGCCCAGGGCTCGGTTGCAAACTGAAGGGTTGGCTTCTGCCAGGGGTTGTAACCACCAA